AAAAAACAGGGCAAACAAAATTTATATAAACATAGACAAAAGAAAATATGAATCAGTTTCAGTAATTAAAAAGGGTGACTGAAAGGGATGAGAAGCAAGAAAAAATCTATGATATTGCTTGGGTATGTTGATATTGATTGTGCAACTCAAGGTATGCTATTGCTTATGTATGTTTAGTGGAAGCATAACTCAAGCTCTATTGGATTCAACACATTTTGATTCTGATCATGTTCTGTCAGGTCTGTGGCCTTATACAGATAATGAAAATTGTTCATTATCTGTATAAGAAAAATAGAGAGGTTAGATTAGTTTATCTCTAACTCTAGAAAACCTAGAACTACAGGGAAGCATTCAACATTCAGTAGCATCCAGTGATCGCACATGGACAATGAAGGAATAATTTTATATGACAGGTTCAAAAGAAGGAAAGATTTTTCTGAATAAAGAGAAGTTGTAGAAGTTGTTGATGCAGAAGAAATAAATGGGTTACTAAAGAAAGAACATTATTAATAAGATGGTAATGAATAGTTCACCCCAATGGCTAAGTTCTATTTAACAATCTTGCCATGCTTAAGAAAATCACACAATTCAGAGTTATGTTTGTAAGCAGCTGCCTACCTGACTTTCTAGGAGAAATAGGTCCTAATAAAAAGTAGATTTAGAGTTACAATATGCTTTTTTGCTATTTTTTATTCTTTTTCAAAAAAGTTTGAAAAATTAAAAATCATAAACTCAGTTAATTCATTTCCAATTGGCCTAAAAGTTGATCAATTTTTGATAATATACTTAGTTTTTGAGAATATGGGCTATGCATGAAAACTATTTGTGCAATTTTAAAGACAGGGATTCCCAAATCCCATTTCTGACTTTGTAAAGTCAAACTCTTCAAGCAGGGAGCCTAATAATTTTTTCTGAAGTCTTGCTGACATATAGTGGCATTCAGGAAGGAGTGGATCATACAGTCCAAAGATCCATTCCAATCCTACCAATGTGGGTATCTGTAAACTGTACTGAAATAATTGTTAATATACCACAACCAGAAGTGTGAGTATGTACTGCACAGTTGGAAGAGACCCTGGCACTGTTGATGTTGAGCACACATCACTGCCAAAGAAAGAGGGGGGCTGGAGAGATGGCTCAGTGGTCTAAAGCACCTACTTGAAACAAGCTTGTCAAAGCACAGGGACTGCGGTTCGATCCCCCAGCACCACATGCCAG